TCTTCTCCAGGTTCCACTACTGGGACCTGTGCTGGCACCCCTCGATGTCTCCCGTGCCAGCTGGCTAGGGACTGCTCCCCGCCCCTTGCTGCCCTCTGTCTGTCCGGCTGGCCCGAGCAGGCTGGGACGGGCTCCCTGCCGGGGACACTCCTGCCCCGCCACCGCTGACAAGTGCTGACTTTTCCTCCCCCTCTCCAGGCCTTCCTGAACAGGCTGCCTGTGTTCAGGGCTGGGAGGGGCTGGGGGGGGGGGGGAGGCACTGTGACGCCTCTCATCCTGGCCAGCGTGGACGCCTTCAGGGCAGGAGGTGGGATGGAACCTGGGATGGCGGAGTTGGCTGCTGGACCCGGTGGATCTTCACAGGCGGCCTCTACCTGGCCCGGAGGACCAAGGCCCAGAAGGATAGTACAGCCTAACTTAACCGTACGCCTGGTCAGCAGAATAGGATCCACCAGCTCTCACCTCTGCACAGGCCGGTCCCAGAGTTGGGGGTCTTTAGGGTTTGGAGGTTTCTGGTGTCTTTGCGAATCTGAGGGAGGCTTTGCACCCTCTCTCAGTCACACCGTATTTTGCAGACAATTTCAGGGGTCTGCAAAAACCCCACCCTACCCTTTCTTTTTCCTAGGAACTCTCTCTCTGAAAGAGCTGCTTTCCTGATGCGGTGGCTGGACCAGGGAGTGTCCCCAGAAGGCCCACAACAGGAATCTGGGGGAGGCCACTTGACGCCTCATTAAAACATTCCGAAGAAAACCCAAGTTCCCGGGAGGGCTCGGCTCCCCTCCTCCTGCTCTGTCCACAGGCCGTTCCCAGAGCTGGGGTGTGTGTGTTGGTGGGGGGGGGGAGGTGTTTAAAGGCAGGTGATATAAAAAGCTTGAACAAATCAATACAAAAAAGACAAATGAGCTATGGAAAGAGGAGTGAGTAATGGCTCTGTGCAAGCTCTTAGAAGAGGGACAATAGACCAACGTAAAGTCCCAAAGCTTATGGGTAATTGGCAAATTAAAATGACAAGATGCACCATTTTTCACCTATCAGAATGGCAAAGGTGAAAATCCTCATGCTTCCCCCGTGAGACAGAGGGTGTTGGGGAGAGACCCTCCTGGTCCCTCCTGGTATTGTGAGTATAAACTTGCACAAGCTTTCTAGAAGCCAGTTTGGCCATGTCTATTAAGATAAAAAAACGTGAATGTTCTCAGACCCAGCAATGACAGAATCTAGAAATACCCTGCAGAGAAATGGTCACACGGGGCCACGGGAAGGCGTTTCAAGGAGCTCTTCTGCCCCCCATCTGGAATCTCACACACACACACACACACACACACACACACACACACACACACCCCTATGCAGAAAAGATCTAAATATACATTTCTGGGGACTGCTTAATGCATCCCAGATTTTGGAATACTATGCACCATTAAAAAATAGATTTATGTTTCCTGGCAAGAAGATCTCTAAGACATACCTTTAGGCAAAAAAAATGCACATGGCAGAGCTTTACCTACAAACAGACACCATTCATTTGACAACAAGCAGAAAACGACAGAACAAAACTATCTGCTTTATATGTACACAAAAAAGTACCTTTTGGAAATCTACAGGAAAAGGTCTGGGAGGACACCCATGGACCCAGACTGTTAAAAATGATCTTCTCTAGAGGGGGCCCTGGGGCTTGGGAGCCATCAAGGGTGAATTCTCTTTACTCTGTACTATGTGACTCTTTTATAAGAAAGAACATATTCAAGTATCAGTTGTTCAATAAAAAATAAGAAGAACATATTCAAGTATCAGTTGTTCAATAAAAAAATTTAAAAAAAGTAAAATAACAAGGATTTTATGGAAGGAAGGAAGAAAGGAAAGAGGGAGAAGGAAGGAAGGGAGGGAGGGAGGAAGGGAGAAAAAAGAAAGAAAGAAAGAAAGAAAGAAAGAAAGAAAGAAAGAAAGAAAGAAAGAAAGAAAGAAAAAAAGGGAGGAAGAAAGAAAAGGGAAAGAGGGAAAAAAAGAAGGAAAAGAAGGAAAAGAAGGAAGGAAGGAAGGAAGGAAGGAAGGAAGGAAGGAAGGAAGGAAGGAAGGAAGGAAAATTAAATAACCCACAGTGGGACACGGGGATCTTGCTTTGGAGGAAGAAGCTTGGTGCAAGAGTCTGAAGATGTGGGTTCAAGACCCACCTCTGCCACAGATTCACTGCCTGAACCTCAGGGCTCTTTCCCATAAAATGGGCTGGTGAAAGGATGGAATGAGAAAACATTTGTGACAGTTTCTAGCTCTGAATCTGAGGACAGCCATTGTTCAACACGTGGTGGTTCCTTCCTGTCTTTAAAAGAGGGTCCATGGCCACACTGGCTCTGGAGCAGGCTAGGAGGGCTCACCTGTACTCCCACCCACCACAGCCCCTCCTGGGTCTGACCCTGAGGTCGCATCACATCTCTGCACTCAAGGCCTGCCCCCCATGCTGACCTGCAGTTTCTCGTTCACATGTCCTTAGGATGAGGCATCCCCAAGGATGGTTTTGCCCCCTACTCACAATCTGTGGGTCCGTCCCTTCCTCCAAAATCCACTCCACCTGACCCCCAGCTCGCGGCTACTATTCCCCGTAAGGCACAAGATGGGCCAGCTGAGTCTGGCCATAGCCGATGTCCTCACAGTGGGGCGCTTTCTGGCCCCCCCAAACCTGAGGTCCCTGGGAGCCCACTTCTGGGACTGGCTAGGCAGGCAGCATGAAGGTTTGGTGACAGGAACTATTCGCTGAGCTTGGCGGGCTTAGTGGGCCACAGCACAGATCTGGGTGGGAACGGTCACCCCGGGGTTCAGAAGAAGAAACTGGCAGGCTGTCAGTCTCTCGCTGGCTCCAGCTGAGCCCAGGGGGCCTACAGGGTATTGGGTGATGCTTGGGCCACATCCTCTAGACCTAAAACCTAGAAGGTCTTCGGGAAGGTCCAGGGTATACACAGTCCGAGTATCCCGCCACTGCTGTCCCGACAAGGTCTCAGGGCAGACCCAGCCAGGGCATCCCTCCTCCTGCCCTACCCTCAGAACTGCACTGGGGCTAAGCCAGGCCAGTTCTCTGCATGTGCCTCAACTTCCCCAGAAAGCAGTGAGGGGCCCTGGGGACCCATTACCCCCTCCCCACAGAGACACAGGGCTTGGCACCAGGTTGGCATGCAATAAAAAATGGTCATATTGATTGCGTGATTCAGATTACTTTAAAAATGGGAACAATAACAGAACCTTTTTTAGAGGGTTGTTGGAAAGATTAAAGTAGTTAATACTGTAAAGTGCTTAGAACAGTGTCTGGCAAGAAGAGAGTGCTACAAAAGCATCTATTAAATAGAAATAAGAAACAATAGACCTGGGTGCACATGTGCTCACAAAAGCACATGCACATATATGCACAACCACGTCCCTGCAAGTGATGTGCAGACCCAGCTTCAGACACATGTGAGTTCACACGCGTCTCAGACACACACTCACGGGGACCCGGAGAACAGCACGCCCCGAGTCTGGCTCAGCCCTGCTCTGACACACAGACATGCTCTCAGGACACTCACACCCACCTTCCTGTCTACCCCATATATGTGCACACAGACCGCGGGCTGGCTCTGCACACAGCCTGGAAGGGGCCCTGGGGACCGTGAGCCTGGCCCAAGGTGGGTGTGGGGAAACAGCTCTGGGTCCTTGCATTTGCCTCCGCACAAGTCTCTGAGCCTCGATTTCCCCCATCTGCAAGTCCTCCTATGGGGTGAGGTCTCTGGCTTTGGGGAGCCAGAGTTAAGAGGGCACGGGCACCAGGGAATGGAACATGCTGAGGCCCCCAGAGGAGAAGAGAGCCTCAGATCAGGGGATTCTTAGCCAAATAGTTCTTGCTCTTTTTTTACAGATGGGGAAACTGAGGTGTGGAGGATGGCCAAGGTCACATGGGCATTAGGCAGCTGGAGGAATCTCAGAGCTCTTGCTTTCCCGATGAAGGTTCTGCCTGGGTAGGGAGCTGGTGAGGGGGGAGGCAGCTGTCTGCCTGCCTGCTTGTCTCTCTAGAAGGCAGATGCCCCCACCCGGGAGGTACCGGGGAGGCAGCAGGGGCCTTGAAGTGGGACACACAGGCGGACACTCTCCTCAGCAATGAGCTAGTCTCCCGGGACAGGGCTGCTGAGGGATCTGACCGACTCCCCGGGACCTGGCCCCGGACGATGATGCTTCCCTCCTTGTCTCCGGCTCTTGGCCTCCGCCAGTGCCTGCTTTTCTGTGCTATTGTTGGTCTGTCTGCTGCTTCTGCTCTGGGGAGCCCTCATCCCCACCCCATCTGTCTCTCTTGCCCATCTCCCAGCCTGTTTCTTCTTCTCCCTCTGGTCCCCTCTTGGCCTCTGCTCTGTCCCTCACTCACCAGAGTCCCCCTCCAGCACGTTTCTCCTGGAGAAGTGTTCTGTGAGGTCGGTCTCCTTCAGGGGACCTCCATCCTTCCTCCATGCCACACACACCGCCTCCCTGGGCAAGAGCGTACGCGGTGTGTGCACGCATGTGATTGTGAGAGCTGGAGGGGACCCCTAAATCCTACCCCCTGCCTGGTTGGTTCTGACCTCAGACTCACAGCCCCGTGTGCTGGATTGCAAACAACATTTGCAGAAAACAGAGGCCCTGGAACAAAGTCTGTGGGACCCTACCTTAGGGCCAAAGCCCGGTCTACAGCTAGATCACATTGTCATCTCTGAGGGAGACACAGCCACGGGAGTGGTGCTCGCAGAAGCAGAAGATAGGGGAACCCCAACCATAGATTTCCAGACTTGGGACCCCAAACCCAGCCTTCAGAAATTACGAGACCTTAGGCATCTGGCACCAGGTCCAGACACCCCAGAGACAGCAGGCACCCTGGATCTCGGGTCAGAGAGGACGCTCACCCAGAGTTCAGATTACTCAGGGAACCTAAGACTCTGCGCCCCGGTCGGACCCACCCCAGGGACCGCAGAGCAAGCCCGCAGCCTGTCCTGGAGTGCGGGTGAGGGACTTACCAGTGCGTATGCGGAGCTGAGCACCGGGCAGCAGAGCAGGAGCGCCAGGCCGGGCGCGATCCGGGCGGCCCCCATCGCCACCGCCTAGGGCCCCGTCCCTCGGGGCAGCCGCCGCCGCCGGCCCTGGTGGTGGTGGTGGTGGGGTACAGAGCTGCGTCAGGCCGGGCTGCCCCGCCCACGCCCGGGCCTAGGGGACCCCGGAGGCCCGGCGGCCCGAGGCCCCGGGGCCCGGCGCGGGGCCCATGCGCCGAGGGCTAGCAAGCGAGCGCAAAGGAGAAAGAGAGGGAGGGAGGAAGGGAGGCAGCCGGGGGCCGGGCGGGCGGCGGGCGGGCGCCGAGCGCTGCGGAGCTGCCCGTCTGCCTCGGAGCGGAGAAATCACAT